GATCATCCCTTTCTTGAATAAGCCATTACAAAAATCTAAGCTGTCTGCTCATTTAATTACCAAAGGCTCAGCAAAAATGGATTTTGCACAAGATCTCATGTAGCACCAAGGGAAGAACTAATCTTTGGCCACAGTTGCGGTTGCCCTTGGGCACTCCTAATTTAGGAGGTTTCTGTCAGTAGATCCACACAAACTGTAAGAGGGGAAGAAGAACATGCCTGTGAACTCACCAATCATCTCAAACACTTTCTCACTCTACAGCTGCTGTAAAAAAGCCAATTTGCATTGCTGCTCCCTAATACACTGATTTTGTGGAATTCTTACCCTCATACCTCCCTTCATTGTCTCTCTCACACACATACACACCCCTCCCCATACAAGAAAACAAAGGAGGCTTTGCTGTGGACTTGTCCAGTAAGTCCTAATGATGTATCTATTTATATAATCTCTCCATAAATATGCATATTCACATAAACACACACATAAATGCTATTTATAATCACTTAGCAGTTCCATGGCAAACATTTATAATGAGATAATGAGAAGCTGCAGAGTCTTCAGCATCTCTGGAATCAGTAGAAGACTGATAGGTCTCACACAGGATTCACACCCCAGCAGCCTGCTCAGTGTTGCATACGCTGTACTAGCTAGAACAGCTCGATCAAAAGAGAATCTTTTCCTAACTTCTCAAAGCTGTAACAGAACAGGTAACCTTAACAAAAAATTAATTTCATGGCCTCTACTGCTGCCTCCCCTAATGGTAAAAAAGAAATATTTTCCTCAGTTCACATCATCATAGACAAAAAGGAAGAATAAATAGATAGCTTTCTGTTAAAACTGCATCCTTCTGCTTTTATTCAAAATCAATATACCCATTACATTCATGATTATTCCTAGGAAAACATAGATATTTTATCTCTCAACTACTGCTACCACTGACCACAACGAACACTTCTAAAAGCACCAGTTACAAGACTAACAGACGGAAATTGTCGCTCATCGAGTCTTATAATTGAGATTTACGTTTCTCCTATTACGTGCAGAAATCTTTGCAAGAATTACATTTGCATTTTCAGGGCTCAGTGACCTAGTGACAGTCAATTAGACGTTGCTGTAGCTTTACTTTTCAATACAAATAGACTGATACTGAAGTACAGATGTTTACAGAACATACACAAACTGTTATATGCTATCATGCATAAAGTTATAGCAACCTACTGATTGTTATAGCTACACCTATTCGATACGCTACTACCAGCTACACCTATTTGATACGCTACTACCAAACACTGTGCCATCTGATATTATACTTGCAGGAAAGAGATATTCTGCATATTGGATCATAGCTTAATAAACAATGCTTACATTGTTTGGTGAGGAGAAAGCATTAGTAAAAAATTCCAAAGCCAAGAAGATGAGTAGGAGTATAGCAGTTTGTAAACTCATCCTTTATGATCCCACCCTATCCCCCTGGGTAAGGTGGGGAAACCAGCCTGGTAAGATGGAGAAACCTGAACTGTGAGATAAAAAAAGGAAAGAGGGATTTTTACATAGTGTACTTCAACTAGCTATTGAAAATTTAGTGCTCCTAAATTTAGGAGCCAAAAGTTCTTATTCTTGGGAAATTAAATAGGGGAATCGTTTGTTCAGGATGTTAATTGAGAAATTACAGTTCTCCAAACTTAATGGAGAAGTATTCCGGGAGACTATTTCAGGCTATGTATCTTGCATACACTGAAAGGTATCCGCAGGAAATGTATCTTAGATATACTGTACATTATGAACACCACCTTCTCCTTCACCAAATACCCAGCTTTCAAGGAGTCACAGAAACATACAGAATCGTATCAGTAGCTGTCAAATAACAACCTGCTGCACCCTCCCCACAACTCCACCTCATTAATTGGTAGATCACTGCTCTAAGAGAGTTTCATCCTAAAAATTCAACATAACTATGAAAGCCTTCAAATAAAAGCTCAACCAAAACGTGAAAAGTATTCACCACAAACAAGTGGGCAGGTGAGCTTCTGCTTACAGCACAGAAAACCATAAAGCTCCACTTGTTTTCAAGGAACAGGATTCCTAAGTGCATAGGTGTTTTATCTCTGCTTGCAAATTATCATTTGGAATCAAAGCCCTGATCTTTGCAGGCAGTTAAAAAAAAAAAAAAGTGAGCTCCAAACTCTCAGCTCTCACAAAACCTACTACAGGCTTTGTTTATTAGCTAGAACATGATCTAGATATTATCCACATCTTTAAGTTTAGTTACACTAGTACTTTATCTAGTTTCTGAAAGATTACTGACAGCCTCAAAGATAGCCTTTTACTTCAGTACTTTGCTTGGGTAGAGCAACAGGATCCTGCTCAATCCAGATCTTAGTGCTAGAAGTTTAGGGCCTTGATAAAACAGTCCCCTAACACAAAGGTCAAGTTACTGTTGCTTCCAGCTGGAATGTTTCCCAAAGTCAAATTAATTACTAATAAAAAAGGAACAACTTGAAGAGGAATGGAGAAAATACATGTATTTGTATCTAACAAAAAACAAAGTTTGATAAAAATACTTCAGCATGCAGGTTATAATCTACTTCATATAAACAATTAATTTATTCTTGGAAGATATGTCTTTGCTGCTCATGATGAATAACAACAATGCATATGAGCCTGACAAACGCTAGGTAGAAATTCTCTTTCTTATTTCAGTTTTAGCTCTTCATGATTACTCAGTAACCTTAAACAGAGGTCCGGTCTGTTTCACAAATAAAGGCACATAATCTGAATTAGTCAAAAATAAAGGTTTTTTTCTAATCATTATTTTATTCTTAACCTGTAAATTTCACAGAATGGACCTATACAAAAAGGCCTAAAGCTGACCATTGTTCTAAGGAAGTGTAGAGAAAGGGTATAAGCTCACAGGACTGAGGCTGCCTAAACTGCCACCGAAGCATGGTATTTTCAGTTATCTTTTCCACTTGTATAGCTCTCACCCTACATTTTTTTCCCCCACATCTACACGTTTACAGAAGTATCACTTTGCATTGCTTTAAAACACAGACTCACCAGGCTAGTAACACCAGTTCAAAAGCAGATTTGTGGCCAAAAAGTTGAAGGCTCTCCTCTTAGAAAGGCAATCCACTTATGCAAAAAAAAAAAAAAAAAAAAAAATTGGAACCCCCCCCCCCCCACTTGTTCACTCCTATGACAAAAAAAAATCAACATAGCTGAACATGCAGTGTGAGGAAAGATAGCTCCTGTTTTTAAGGGATTTAAAACTGCTCTAAAATCCCTTATTTTTAATTTATAACATGCAAATCTTAGCAGTGAATAGCAGCTGCAGCCCTAAGTATCAATGCAGCCTGCCAGCCAAGGAACCACGACTCCAAACTCCTCCTTCCAGCCTCTCTTTCTACATACCCACAGGAGCACAGCTGGCAAAGGCACTTCAAGGATGACACTGAGGGTGAAGGCACAGGAGACATGCTTGCTAGGAAAACCAGTTATGGTTGAGGTCTTTCCGCAGCAGATGCTCTATAGCAGAAGGCCTTTTCAACAGTAGTCCCTGAAGACGATGTCAGAAAAAATTCTGAGGACCTGCAGAAGCAAGGTTAAAGCACATGACAGTGGTGCAGGGGGCACTACACATCCCAGCTGATCAGCTCCTTCCCTGGGGCAAAATGCTGAAGCTCCTCAGGTGACTTTCTGCCCAGGGCTCTGTGGCTTCTGCTTTTAAGCCTCTCCTGACCAGGGCAAGAAAGCTGTAAGACAGTCACCCAGGGAACCTGTGTGAAGTCACAAGTGCCAGACTCCAGAGCTCGGGCCTGCAAGCCATGCAGCCATACCTAGTTCACACAGCTGATTGCTGAGGTCAGACCTTACAATGCTTTGGCTGTTTGAGCAAGATATAGAGCAAAATTTAAAAGGGCTATTAGGAAACACTCCCATCTTAGCTATCCTCCTGCTAGTACTGCACTTGTATGAGCACAAAACAGCAGCTAACTAAAATGAGTAGATCCTCTACTGCTAATATATTAGCAGCCCTGTTACAACTTTCACAACCAGCACATCAATCTCTTTTCATAAGATCGATGTCAAATTCTGCTTTATAAGTGAGGTGTCAAATACAAGCAGAGACTCTTACAACCTATTGTGACTGACCAACAAACCTCTACAGTGGAAGAGGGCTCAGAGGAGACGGGCAAGGGCAAGGTGCCTATGAAAGCTCAGGAACAACGTACGGGAGAGGGGCTACTCATTAACCGCAGCTGTTGCACACACAGAAAGCTGACTTTATCTCAACACAAAGGGGACTGGAGGATGACCTGTTTTAGACAGGCAGCTACATCCTTTGAGTGGATCAACTGGTATAAAAGTTTCTCCATGAGACAGCCAGAACAACAGGGCAGGGGGAAGCGTATATGTGGCTCAGCTCAATATAGAGTATAAAACCTGAACAACTACTAAAAGAATTTAAAAGAGGGTAACGGGCTGGAGCCAGCTTCAACCCACCTATTCCTTCCTGGCAACCGGGGATGTCCAGCATTGTGACAGTGAGTATATAATAGAGGCTGGTAATAGGGACCACCCTGGTACTGTGATCAAACCGTATAGAGCAAAATACAGCAACTGCAAAGCATATATACTTGTATTATCATCTGAGTATATTGCTGTATCACTCTGCTAAATCAGGAATCCCACGTAACATCAAATACCTTCAAAGTAAACTTTCATATTAAAAATTACACTCTCCATCCGTGGAATAGCTAAAAGAACCTGCTCAAACAGCACTGGTCTCTAACACCTATTTGCAACTGTTTTGGAAGAAAGGAGGAGAAAGATATACAAAAAAAAAAAGCATTACTTAGAAATTCATTTAAAAAAAAAAAAAAACTGTAAACACATCAGGTCACGATTCAGGTCTCAGCAGTACAGTTTCACTTCAACAGGACCAACTATCTGTTTGTCATAGCCTTCAAGCCAGGAAACAGACCAAAGAAAATAATCACTGGATTAGTAGGTAAGATTTATTTAATGAAAGATGATGCAAATATCTGTCCTAGATCTACTACACAAAATTAACTGCTTTTCCCAGAGAGATGGGATAACAGATGCAACAACTCTTGCAATAGGAAGTTTATCTACTGGAACTTACACTTTTACTTTTTTGTAAAAGGGGCTATGTTATTAGTTGTTGCACATCAAGATGTCATAAGTTATACGTATAAACACATAATGTACACATTTATATAAACCTATTAACTAATATAAACTATGGGAAATTAAAATGGCATTAATATTACAAGTCATAAACTTTTAGAATTTTAATTGAAAGCATATCAACTTTATTCAGTAACAATATATGTAAAGAAATATGCACTAAAGTGGAAGGTTATGAAAAGAATGATACTTATCAAAGCAAAAACTGATGAAAATATTTGACCAGAAGTCTCAGTGAGAAAGAATAATCCACACAATGTAGTGCACCAAATAACATTTTTAGAAAATACTGAAATTTTCACTGTCTGTCTTGCACCTATTTCAGATCTGCTGTTTTCCCTTTTTTTAGGATTAGGCCGTGTTTAGCTAGTGCTTGGCACGTGATATTTTTAAAAAGCTATATACATGAAGGAATATACCATTCTGTATACAAATAAGTGTCTACATACATAATGTTACTACGGATGAAGTGAAATTGGAGGAACCTTAGCAGGCAACTGACATTCTTGAATGAGGAATCTGGAATACAGTTTCCATAGGAAAGAGCAAAGAGCGCAACATCTCTATGTGAGCGGTGTTGGGACAAGATGCTATACACTCAGGTGAACCATAATTCTACTACTTATGGTTTTGCTTCAGCTTTACAAGTTCTTTCATGATGATGGTTCCTTTGCGTCCAGCTTCTCATTCGATTGCTCTTTGTCTGTAAGAAAAATGTACTAGTTACAACTAGTTATGTAATACTCAATAAGTTGACTGAGAAATACTATTTTGAAAGTATTTGCAATAAATTATAAAATATTTCTAACTGCTGATAACTGTCCCAAGAATGGCAAAAATCTTCCCTATCAGCACCACCACTGTTTCAAGCAAAAGCTAAGTCATTTCACTACATCAGTATACCAGAGTTAAGAGGAAAGCACTGCGTGAATGTTTGTCTTCCGTATCAAGAAGAAGCTTTGCAGCCTAGGTCACGGTGCCTCCAATACTGTTTATAGCTTAGTCCAAAATATCTATTCTACCCTTCTTTGAAGACAATTTTTTTCTGTCAGTCATTTTGACAATATACTATTGCCACAGCCTTATCTGATGCCTCCACAAATGCTATGTTAACATAGTTACCAACAGAATACTTAGTCACATAGACTGTGACTAAGGCAGAAAGGATTCCGGGCGTCTTGGGAAGTCAGTCTAAGTTACTCTTAAGAATAATGTCTTTCAGAATTGTAATAAGCAGCCTTAGGAGCAGAATTAGGTTTTTTTGTTTTTTTCTAACTCCAAGTGAAATTACTGTAAAGAGGAATTAAGCAATCCAACCTAAATCACTTACAACTAAGTTTACATATAATCTGAGATACCATATATAGCAAACTTTACTCCTCAAATATTACTTGAAAAATCATTACCACCTTCGCTGAATAATTTCAAGAGGCAAACCTATGCATAAAATAGGTTTAGCCTCATGGTTCTTTAGTGAGTTAAGCTCCTAGTATTCCATTAAAAAAAACCTGCTTAAGTGACAAACTCTTCTGTATAGCCGTTATTAGCTCATCTTCATTTACATTTTTCAAAAGTTAGTCTTGCATCTAACTAAACACTGCACTATTATTTAAATAAACAAGACACTTGTGTTGGAGACTGGGGAGCAGGGGGAAAAAAAAACCAAGATATTTCTTAATATGAAGTATTACAAACTAGGAACTGACTTCCCTAGCAAAACTTCCAATCTTCTGCAGTACATTTCTAAATAGGCAAGTTCGTTCAGAGCAAATGCACTATTCTGAATTTAACTCGGACTTCTAGAAATGTACTTGCAGATGTATCTAATGCATCTTTATGCTTTTTTTTTTTTTTTTTTTTAAAAAAAACACCCTAAATAACTAGAGATAACCCCAGAAAGTCAGATAAGGATTTTTTCTGCTACTTGCAAGATGTTGCTATGACTAGGGGAAAGGAAGTGTACTTATTTTGCTTCTGTGTCCTATTTTCTGTAAGGAAAAGAAGCAGAGGAATGATCCACCTTCCTACAATTCCAGGGCAGGGTTCATCTGCTCAGACTAGGATATCTAGGGGAATATATTTACCTATAGCAGAGTAGGTAGAATGCTGTTGTGAAAGCCCAGAAGACACTTACCCTTCAATTTATGCATGAAGTCAAAAGGAGTTTTGTGTATCATTGATGCCATTTCCTCCAGATCTTGAGAGAACATCAGTAAAGGTGACAGGGAATGTTTTCCTTCAGCAAAAGATACTGGTGACAGCGTTTTGAGAAAGTCTTCATCCAAGCAAAACAGTTCTTCTAGAGGAACTTCATCTCTTTCTGCATTTCCTAGTGTAAGATTTAGCTCTGACTTACAACTCAGAGACTCATCTCCATTATGTGTCTGAGGCACTTCCTCTTCATTTCCAGATAGCGCCCTCTTCAGTGTTTCATATCTGCTGAGAACAGACTGCAAATCTATCTTTAACTGCGCATCCCTTTCATTTTTTGGACTACCCGGTAAATGCTTGTTGTCCAGTATATCAAAATTAGTCTCTGAACTTGCAGATTTATTAGGATTTACGTTACCAAGTTCTTCTGAAAGAGTCTCATGCAATATCCCAAACTGGGTAGCTTCATGACTGTCAGAACTTACCACTGGAAGTGAATCCCACAGCTGAATTCTCTCCATGAAGGAATCCTCAGAGTCATCTGGGGATAGAACAACTGCTCTCCTCTTGTCTTCTGAGTAACTGCTTTGAATATTCATGTTTTTCTTTATATGTGGAAGAGTTGATTCTGGATTTTCCACAAAACTTTTGCTCAACAGAGTACTTTTAAACTCCTGTTTCTCAGTTCTCTCACTCTCCGATATTCTAGTTGTTTCCTTAACTGGAGATTCATTGATACCACTTATCATCATCTGCTTTTGAGGCGAAAATTCTCTACGGGCTAATTGGGACTTCCCCTCTGATAAAGGGGAATCCAAGTCAAATACAGGAGATGAAGAGATAGACTGGACTAAGCTGGAGTCTACTGTATTCTGCATTACAGGACCAGCATCCTTTGGAGGTTCTGTCATCGTTATTTTGGATGAGGCCAGCTCTGTGTCTGACGAGTCCTCAGTCTGAATAGCTTTTCTCCATGAACTTCTAATTTCAGTAACTAAACAGTAACAAAGTCAAATTTTATTACTTTCATACTGTCATATCAATTCATCTTTCTTCTAGTGCTCTAGTAACATGACATAAACACTCTCCTTTCTGGATTACTTACCTGCTTTATATTGTTTATGCTCAGTTTTCCCAACCATTTCTTCCTTGAACACAAAGTGGAATTCACACTGGGGAGTGGGAGAAGGATGGGGTAGAGAGAGAACGGGGGTGGGAAAAGTCTATGCCAAGTCAAAAATCACAGTATGTTGTGATATGCAAAGTGAGTGAGAAAAACTCACAGCTTCACCAAACGAGTTTTTTCTTCTTGTGACGTGTACAATGTCAATGAACTAGTCACATTTTTATTCAATCCTCAATTATTATAAAAACAGAATTCTAGACTTACGTAGATTTTCTGGAGTTCGGGGAATTTGTTTCCTTGTGATAAATGGGTTAGAAGCCAGTGAGCTAATGAGATCTTCCAGCTCCATTCCTTTTCCTCCACTATTCTGAGGTGACTGAGATATCACTGTTTTTGCAACCTACAGAATGTCAGGGAACAGCAAGTACTGAAAAAGCATAGTTACAACCTCTATTTCTGTCAACTGTGGCTCCAGATAAATCCCATTTTCCAGATGAAGAGGTGTTCAGAACCCCCCCCGACTCTTCCACAATTTAGAGTGGTGTTTGGGCTCACCACGGGCAGGATATACAGAACAGTATCCTACAAACACACGATATGGAATTGATACAGTTCTATTTAAAGTTCCCTCATCTTCTATTAACCCATCTTAAAAATAAGAAACTGTACCTAGAAAGAAAGTATTTGAGACACTAGTCAAGAACTCCATATGCGTGAAGACCAGAACTATAATGACATAAATGTGAATATTTCAGCAGCTGAAAGGTAACCACACCATTTCAGTGGAAGATGCCACTTGTTTTCCAAATCAAATTGTTGCACACTGTATGAAAGTTCTTGTAAAAATTCCTCAGTTAGATCTTAACACTTAAAACAAAACACTTAAACCCTTGCTTAAAACTCACAAGGCACCTGCCAAATATCTTGATTGTATAATTTCAGAAAAAAAAACGACCACTAAGTTATAAATATATGCAGTGGTTCACAGATTTAAGGATAAGAGCTCACAGAAGGCCTGCCTAATCGGTTACAAAAAACCCACCTCTAATAAAAGCGCCATTCACTTCAAGATCATGTAAAACTACACAAATTCCATGCTTTCAGGATCTACTCTATTGCGTAATCTTCCCCTAAAAGTTATTAGCAATGATTACTACTTAAAAATAATACCCATACCCCAAAAGTTATTAAAAGAGTTATTTTATGTTATCTTTTGTCATCTGTTCTCTGAACTTTCAAGCTTTTACGTAACAAATAAACAGAAGAAAGATAATTAAAAAACAACTGTTCCTAACCTCTTCTGCCAGTTGTTCTCTGGCTTTCTTGAGAGGGTCTTCTTTTTCAAGAGGACTCTTTCTCTGGATAACATGAGCATCTGTATTCTCCCAGGATTCTAAAATGGCAGACTTATCCTTTGCATGTTTTAAACTATTTGGAGAGACAGGCTGCTCCTTCCAATTGCAAGTTTCAGTATGCAAGTCCTAGAGAAATACACAGGGATTATTAAAAATTTTACACTCAGGTGTCAAAACTAGCATGAAGGAACTACTATACAAAATCCAAACAGCAATGACCTTAGTACCTATACCAACTAAAACACTTCAAAATCTTAAATTCTAACTAAATATAAAATATTTTGACCCTCACTATATTTATAGTAGCACATGAGTAGTGCCGAGAATAGAGTACTGCACAGAATATGTATCCCCCACCATCTGCAACTACAGTGAACATGTTGCAGTTCTAACAATTGTACATCCAAACTGCCTTTAGACCACATTCATATCCTTTGATCTGACACATAACTGCCAAGGGATTCATTAAGCACTAGGAACGAACACTAACACATAATGGTACACGCTCCTGATTTCCAATATGTGGAAGGTCCAGTACATGGAAATGTGTCCAGTAAGACATGTTTAGTGTTTCACTGATCCCCACCTGCTGAAACAATCTCTAGTGTAAGCTGTGAGGCAGCTCAAATGATTCTTCACGTTCTATCTTACAGCCTAGGACTGACTCAGATCTGTAGTAAAGTCAAGCTTCAGTCAATGTAAGAAACATTATTTCCAAAGTTCAATATCTTTGAAAGGTAGGAAACTACTAAAGAATAACCTTTGCAAGGAACTCATCTCTGCTTTCAGATGGGCTTGTCAACTCCGAAGACACTGAGGAGATCCTAAAAACAAATTATGTTTTAGAAACATGGCAAGTGGCAAGTCCTAGAAGGCAGCAATTACACATTGTGTGCCCCGTATCTGTCCGTTACGATTTCCCTCAATTCGTCCCGGTCATCAGAAGGCAATTTTACTATAGGGAGAATATGTGACAACTAGAGCAGATTTAGCCCTAATTGTGTATCATCCTCCCAAACTATTCTAGGTATAAAACTTCTCTTTTGATTGCCAAACAGAAACAGAGAGTTTTTTTGTGATACGTATCTGAAAACTAAGCTTTGTATTCTCTAGGAAAAAGTTTTCTGCAGATTTCATAATGTACTTTTCCTTAGCATTATTCTTCTGAATCACCTCTAGCATCTGCAGGTCTAGTCATATATGAACTCATTAATCACAGAATCAAAGAAAGAGCTGAGGTGAGAAGGGACCTCTGGAGATCATCTAGTCCAACCCCCCCTGCTCAAACAGGGTTACCTAGAGCGCGTTGCCCGGGATTGTGTCCAGATGGCTTTTGAGGATCCCCAGGGAAGGAGACTCCACAACCTCTCGGGGCAGCCTGTTCCAGTTTTTCCTCGTGTTCAGACAGAACTGCCTGCCTTTCAGTCTGCGTCCGCTGCCTCTTGTCCTGTCCCTGGGCACCACGGAGAAGAGACTGGCCCCATCCTCTTGACACTCTCCCTTCAGATACTTACGCACATTCGTAACATTCCCCCCACCTCAGTCTTCTCTTCTCCAGGCTGAACAGCCCTCTCAGCCTCTCCTCCTATGAGAGATCCTCCAGGCTCTTCATCATCTTCACGGCCCTTCACTCCAGTAGCTTCATATCCCTCTTGTACTGGGGAGCCCAGAACTGGACACAGCACTCCAGGTGAGGCCTCACCAGGGCTGAGTAGAGAAGAAGGATCGCCTCCCTCAACCAGCTGGCAATGCTCTTCCTAATGTAACCCAGGATACCCTTGGCCTTCTTGGCCACAAGGGCACGTTGCTCCCTCGTGCTCAACTTGTCGTCCACCAGGACCCCCAGGTCCTTCTCCGCAGAGCTGCTTTCCAGCAGGTCAACCCCCAGCCTGTCCTGGTACAGGGGGTTATTCCTCCCCAGGGGCAGGACTTCGCGCTTCCCTTTGCTGAATTTCATGAGGCTCCGTTCTGCCCATCTCTCCGGCCTGTCCACGTCCCTCTCAGTGGCAGCACAGCCATCTGGCAAATCAACCATCTATCAGCTACTCCTCCCAGTTTTGTTTCATCAGCAAACTTGCTGAGGCGGCCCTCTGCCCCATCATCCAGGTCACTAATGAAAAGGTTAATCGGGGTTGGCCCAAGCATTGACCCCTTCGGGGACACCATCAGTGCCTGGTCTCCATCTGGACTTTGTGCCTCTGATCACAATTCTCTCAATCCACCTCACTGTCCACTCATCTAGCCCATACTTCCCGAGTTCCTCGCCTGTGCAGATGTTATGGGAGACAGTGTCAAAAGCCTTGCTAAAGCTGAGATTAAACAACACCCGCTGCTCTCTCCTCTTCTACCCAGCCAATCATCTCATCGGAAAAGGCTCTCAGGTTGGTAAGGCATGATTTCCCCTATTGTGGGTCCATGCTGACTGCTCCCAACCACCTCCTTGTCTAATTCCTACTTCTGTGTGAATGTTGCCAGCATCTCCTTGTTCATCCATGCAAGTATCTTGCCCCCGGCTTCTTGACTTCTTGCTCATTGGAATGCATTGTTCTTGAGCTTGGATAAAGTGATCCTTGAATATTAACCATCTCTCTTGGATCTCTCTATCCCAGGGGATTGTTCCAAGCAGGTTCCTGAAGAGGCAACCAGCTCCAACAGCATGACCAGTTGGTCAAATAGGCAATTAATACAGGACCACCTTGCCAAGGCAGCTTGATGTGATATGTGAGCAGTGGACCACTGAAATATTCTCATGAGGCTTCAGAGATGTAACATTCAACTTTAACAAGGAAGTTTCTATTATTTCCATCTCTTTTCATCCATTTCTTGTTTAAAATCATACCTTCTTGTTGGTGTTAGTGTTGACTCTCCCATCACATTTTCCACTGTCTCATCATATGTCTCATAGTTTACATCACAAATTGATTTACAAATATCTAGAAGAGAAATGCCAGAGTTTTATTATTGCTTCCATTTTTTTTAAACTCTGGTTTCCTACATGATTTATTCCATGGCAAATAACTTGGATTACTTCTGTAAAGCATCCAAGATACTTATTAACACCTCAAGAAAAATAAATACATACAAAAGCAGTGCAGGGAATTCTTAATCCCTTTGCTCATGTATCACGCAGCCACAGATGCTGTTACCAGCAGCATCTACTTAAAATGTCCCTGAATGCATGTTTGAGAGGCTTGCAGATAGAAATCTGCTCCCCTCGCCTTTTTATCATGCGGTCCACCTTTCCCCAAACTGCCATCCCAAATCCATGTCATCATTGCCTCCTCCTCTCCACACACGGGCACCTCACCCCGTAAAACGTTAAGTTCCCCTTTTTCCCAACCCCACCTGCAAATTAATAGTTACTTCTGTGGACATACTTATCCCTCAGAGCTTGCATCAGTGCCTCCAATCAATAAAGTGTTTTGCATGTTAAAGCTACATGAATCAGAGGTCAGGATTCTCTGGAACAATATATACTGATTTTGGTGCAGATTTCTAGTAGAAAAACAATGTTTTGCTACCATAGTTCTCTAGCAATGTAGATTTTTTTTTTTTTACTTCTGATAACATATATGGCATTCTCCTTTGTAATGATCTCAACAATACCTTCAAAATCTAAATTAAGTTCACGAAGATAGCAGAGGTTAACATGTTTTAACAATGCTCACCATGCTAGTGAGCAGAAAGGGACATTAAATTTTACAAGTTTTGTTTTTGTAGTGGCTGGGGTCTCAGATCAAGCACCTTCTCCACAGAGTGGAGAGAAAACTACAGATACCAGTTTCTCTCAAGCCTTCTGATATTACCAAAGTATCACAGCATTATCGCATAGCGCTTTAATCTCTGTAATTTATAAAGCAAAGGGCCTTCCATTGTCAGTTCTGTAGCCTTTCACTTGCTATTTCCAACCTTCCACCTGCGAACCCTGGATCACTGGGGCAGTGTTTTTACCTTTGTAGTCAAAGGGCTCTTATCCCTGTCAAATTCCAATACTTACGTTGGTTACGTCACTTTGCCCAAAAGGGAGTACATCTCATATATGAATCTCACCTTCTTCCCTCCTCCTTTTCCACCCTTGCTTTGTAGCTTCTAGTTTAAAACTCTGTGCTACAGACAGTAGTTATTTAAATCATCAGCAAGTACTACCCAACAACACACAAGCACAAGGCTTACAAGCCTATAAGCCTCTGCAACATCTGATCAAAGCGTGCTTTGATCAGCACTGTTAACCTAATGAGCAAAAGCAATGGGAGATCAAACAAGGTCCTGATCAAACTGCACAGTTACCGTAGAAATACTCAGAGGAACACCCACTACACTGGACAGAACACCCACAGGAAGATGCTCACGTGGGAAGACACCAGTTATTTCTTTTCCCAGCTGACCATGGGAGACAGATTTTCCCTTCTTTCTTTCCTTATTCCTCCCACCCAAAACAACTTTTACGTTTAGAGTCTATGTATTCTCTGGACCACACGACTAAGTCTTTGTACACGGAAAAGGATGTTGTAGATTCAAGGTTATGTTGAAGATCAAATATCAAACAGCACCAGCACTATCTTTTTGCAATACCAAAAGCTTCAGAGAAACATTTTTCACCATGTCATATTTCAAAGTAAGGCTACCCTGATAAGGAATCATTCAGCACCAGATTATCAAAGTTTATCAGAGAAACTTGCAAACACAAGCAGGGAGTCTTCCTGCTTCCAGGAACTTCTAAGATTGATGAGGCAAAGAGAAGTTTCTCCAGTTCACCAACCTGAAACTGATACTGGATGTTGACAGAAGACACTATTCTCATAAGCTTCTTCTGTTGCAGGATGAAAAGAAAGGGGTGCCATAGCTGGTAACAAATCAAGCTCCTTTCAGTTAAAAAAAAAAAAAAAAGCTACTTACACAAGCAAGCTAGGAAAAAGCTTCATATCAATAGCAAATAACAGACAATTATTCACATCAGCATTTCCACTTATTACTGGTCAGACTCAATGCCAAACTATTGCTCTCTTTGTTGCGTATGTAGGTAAAGTTATAACCTTTGAAAGTTAGAAGGGAAATTATCGTCCATCCATTAAGAACATTATTTTAACAGGGAAATCAAAAACTCAGCAGATGTTTATGACTGACAGCATATGAAAACTGTTTCACAGGATGGAAAAATCAGCAAGCTTTTATTCATGCTGATCTACTGTCATGACAAGACGGTTCCATCTCCCATCACAAATTAGGACATCAACTGTCATTAAGATGAACATATCATCTTTAAGAGAAGCTACTTGACTTAATAAGGCAATTTCTATTATATTTTGCTTAAGATATACTATCTGAAGATGGATTGTTACAATGGAACACATCAGCTTGTACGTACATCCTCTCTCAGATTCACCTCTTCCCTTTCCCAGAATCAGATTAAGTGAATACTACTTACTGAATCCTGATCTGCAGTTAAACAAAAAGGGGAGTGACCAAGATAGCTTTGCCACTTCGTTTGCCACTCCTTCTGTTTCTCAGAAACAGATTCGCTTACTGACACACGATACTCTTGCTCTATTTTTTGGCTGTAATATAAGAACGAGAAAAATGAACGAGGAACAGGAACACATCTATTGGCAGAGACAACATTTCTACTTAAAAATGGTAAAAGCTCGTCCTCCCCTTATCCTAAGGAACCTTGAGGTAAACTTATTTGTGCATGTGGTAACAGACTAACTGAAATTCAAAATCTTTTTAAAAAAAAAGTGCTGCTTAGGTTATCTTTGTGTTTCTCGCAGCAAAACGGAAGAACTATACTAACACATACAAACCATGAAATGCAAGCTTAAAAACTTTTCTTAAATAAATCTCAGATTGAGTTTTAAAATCTCAGATTTGATTAATACACCAGGAGAAACAGGATCAGCAAGTAAACTCTATCCTCAGGAACAAAAACTGAAATGCCCATGAAGTTTCAGGAAGCAAGGGCAAAAAGCTGAAGTTATTCAGAGAAAACTTTTAAGTTGAAGACTATCTAAATAGACAACCAATATAAACATGAATTTCTTAGATGCAAAGGAAAGACTGAATTAGCATGTCGTCAGTCTAAGTGACATTATTTCAGAAAGGCCTCCAAGACAGGAAGATATGTTCCTCAGATTAAAGAATAAGAAACTCCAGAGAATTACCTCATTGTTTTCAAATCCAACAGTATTTTATTTTGGAATTCAGTCCTACTCTCAATATACTGAAGATGTGGTTTTAATTCAAGTTGAAGAACTTCACCTCTAAAGATCTTCAGGGCTTCATTTAATAATTGAATGACTGTTACGAAATTCAGTTTTTCTGCTTCATATACGTTTCCTATGCACAACTTGAGTGTTGCAAGCAAGAGGAAAAAATAATAATAGAAAAAAGTCAGTGAACAGTTACAATGGAGCAGTATCAGACAGTTATATTTTCTGTATTTAGTGCAGGGACAGAGTCTCACTTTTTTTTTCAGTTCCTGACTGCTTCATTTTATTAAAAAAAAAAAAAAAAAAAGGCTCCAAATATCAGCCTCAGCTTTTGTATTCCAGATTAGTATCAGCTATTCAAAAGCAGGCTATAAATAACATGAAATAGCCTCACTTCAGCTAATCAGACAGTCTATTTAACCAATGCTCCAAAAAGGCACAGACCTAAACAGCACCATATACCACACACTGGAAACAAAAGCCCATTAGGAGCGAAGCCAGACTAGCCAATCTAGTTTTAACATCTGATCAACAAAAGGTGAAGTACTAATCAAACAAACTTATCAAGGCAGTTGTTGAATTCAAGACTTTAAAAAAAGTTCATAGTTGAAACAACTGAGATATCACAGCAGCATAATCATTTATCTAGCTATATCTAAAAAGTCAGATACACTTTCTCCCTCCCTGACAATCATCTCTTACTTTACCATCTGTGAAGCAGTATTAAAATTTCGCCTTTTTTAAACTAATTTCAGTCCTGGGTATGGTTACAGTCTTAGGGATTAAAAACATATATATCAAAATGGCAAAATCACTTACCTTGTACATCTCACTTTCAACTTTGTCAGCCAACAGCTGTGGAACACTGAGAGCAACATTAGTTCCATCTAAAGTGTACTGGTCAACCCGACCTTCAAGTACAGACTCTACAATCTCCTTTTCCTTTTCCAAAGATGTAAGAGTGTCCATTATAAACGTCCACATACTGCGGACCTTAATTAGCAAGGGGGATGAAAACATTATGTTAAACGTTTGCCATAATTCCTATAACGGTGGAGTATCAGAACAGCTTAAAGGTAAGTGCAAAGAGCTAGTACAGTCACAGGTAGAGAAGTAGAAGTACCAATATCTGAGAGTAAGTGCTGGAGAAACGTTAAAAGAAACATAGTAATTTGCTACAGTAGAAAAATGCTCACCTTTTGAATTCTCTCAGTTTTGTCAATTTTGTTTTGGTCATTTCGTTTCATCCTACATGCATATGCAAAAAAAAGTTCAAGTGGACTACAGTGAAACTTTAGTTTACAATATTTCATAGAACTGTATAAGAAACTGATTTTGTAGACAGTAACTTAGTTACAAGGAAAAATACTCACTTTGAAAACTGTATCTGCAGGTCTGTATATTCAAATCTTAGCTGCTTTATTTCTTTAATTAGCAACCTAGAAAAAAAGTAACAGGTACAACAGTTTTTTGTCTTCAATCTAGTTTTTTTTTTTACTCTACTAGTCTCAAAAAATCTACTAACTTATGCTCATTCTTTCCAAATCTGGATACTCAGGCAGTTTTGGGACAATGCCAAAATTGATATTTTGGTTCCTTACCGAGACTTTGTGCAGAAAGACAGCCAAGAAAACCATTAAGATATTTACAAATTTAGCTGTCATTTATCCTATTGCAATGGAAGCGCTGTTGCTAGATTCAAGAACAATATGGAAATTACTAGAAAGATATTATCAATACAAAGCTCCAAAAAAACTCTACAGACAGTCGTATAATATCTAAATCCCTCAGTTTCAGAAAACTAAAGCCACTAATATCCAGAATACTGGAGTAGAAATGGCTGCAATAGCCTAAGTTTTCAAGTCTCAAACACGTGAGACCTGCTTTTAGTCATTTTTAAACACTTAAATAAAGTAGTCTAATTTTCAGAAACACCGGATGCCCAAGTCATACTGAGTTCTAAAGAACTGTCAGAGTTCTGATGCCTTGTTGAGAGCGGAAAAATTAGATTTTTTTTTTTTTTTTAAATTAAAGATCTCAGTCAGGGTGAAAGCAAAGCCATTAATGCCTCCCAAGCAGGGAGAGAGGAGATAAGAGTCACAGAAATTACAGAATCATAGAAAGGTCTAGAAGACTTATCTCCGAAGATCGTCTGGTCCAACCTTCCATTGAAAGCAGAGCCTTCAGTTAGGTTACGCAGCCTCTGTGAAGTCAAATCTTGAATGCTTCCAGTTTGACAGCTTCCACTCCAGACAACCTATTCCAGTGTCCAGTTGTTTTCACAGTGAAGCTTTTTTTTTTTTTTTTTAAAACCCATCTGGAATTTTCCCTGTGGCAACTTGTACCCGTTGCCTCCTGCGCTGTCAGCATACATCCTTGTGAAGAGAGTATCTATCTATCCCTACTTTTTAGGCACTGGAAGACTGAGATTAGATACCCCCCATCCCAAGCTTTCTCTTCTTTAGTCTAAAGAAATTCAATCTCTTCAACCTGTCGTCATGTCTCAAGTTCAGCAACCCTTTCATCATGCTGGTGGCCCTTTGCTGAAATCTTTCCACATATTCATTATGTCTTCTTCAACACGGTAGGGCAGGAAGGGGAAGGCATGTGGGAACCTCAACTGAACACAACATTCCAGATGCTGCCTAAGTGCCTGGTAAAGTAAAACAAATGCATCCCTTGATCTGCTGGCTATGGTCCTGTTCACACAGCCCAGAATATGGTTGGTATTTTTCACTGTCAGGGCACCCTGCTGGCTCATGCTCAGCTTGGGGTCCACCAGGACCTTCACCACAGATTCTTTTCAGCAGAGCTGCTCCTGAGACAGTCAGCCCCCAGCCTGTGTTGCTGCTTGAGATTACTCCAGGACTTTATACTCAGCCTTGCTAAACCTAATAAAATTCGTGTTGGTCTAAACTTCCAGCCTTTCAAGGTCTCTCTTGAAGGGTCTGTCTATAGACAGCTCTTCCTTCCAGTATATCTATCTTTTCTCCCAGCTTAGCATTATCTGCAAATCTGGCAAGCATGCATTCAATTCTCTGATCTACATCTCAAAGATACTGAGTAGTACTGGATCCATTATCAACCCCAGAGAAACTCTACTCATGACCAGCTGCCAGTTAGACTGCTGCTACTACCTACCACCCTTTGAGTTCACCGTTTTAACTCGTTTTGCACCATCTCATTCTCTAGCCATTCCATTCATATCTTATTAACCTGCTTAACAAGGACGTTTAAGGAGAACATGTCAAATATCATGCTAAAAACAAGAAGGCAGATGACATCCACAGCTCTCTCCTCATTCACTGAGGAAGCTGTTTTATCACGGAAGTCAATTAAGCCGGTTAAGTATGATTTACTCTTGGTAAACCCATACTGACTGTTCTCAAGGATCTTCTTGACCTTCATGTACCTATAAATAGCTTCCTTGAGAGCGTGTTCCACAGATTTCCCAGAGACTGAAGTGAGACTGACTGGTCTGCAGTTTCCCAGATCTTCCTTTCTGCCCCCTTTTTGTAGACAGGCATAATTGCTCTTTTCCAGTCATCTGAGACTTCACCTGAAAACTTTCAAAAGATGACAGAAGTTTTGCAGTGATGTCAGCCAACTCCGAGTACCATTGTATGCATCCCATCAGGTACCAAAGATTTGCACATGTCCAATTTGTACTGAGGGACCTGAATTTGACTCCTCTATTATCAGCTGTTCATTTCATCATTACTACTTGGCATAGAGGCTTGGGGGCTGACCTTACCCATGACAACTGAAGCAAAAAAGTGGATCAGGTACCTTAGCCTTTCTGTGATACTTGTAACTAACTTGCCATTCCATTCAAAAGTGGACCTCAATCCTCTTTGTGCTTCCACTTGCCACTAACATACCTATAGAACCCTTTCCTCAGGCTCTTGCCAGTGTGAGCTTCAGCTGAGCTTTTGCCTTCCTAACCACATCACTGTACACCCGAGCATTCCTGTATTCATCTTTGGGAGTCATTCTCCTTTTCCATCTTGCATAAGCTTTTTTTTTTTTAGGCTTTTAAGTTGAATTGATAGCTCACTGTTTTAATCAGGCTGTTTTCCTGTTATGCCTGCTCCTTCTTCCCCTTAAGGGGATGCACCAATCCTGTGTTTCAACATGGCTGCCTCTGAAAGTCTCTCAGCATTTCTGAGCTCCTCTGTCTTCTGCAGAATCCCATCAAACAATTTCCTGAGCAAGTTCCAATTTGCTCTTCTTAAATCTAGCATCTTTGTCCTTCTACTTCTTTTCCTCCTATCCCTTGGAATCCTAAGCTCTACAGTCTTACGGTCACTGCAGCCAGAGATGCCCTTGTCAGTAATGTTTCCAAGTATGTTTCTCATATTTGTAAGGAGGAAGTCCAGAATAACATCACTCCTAGCGAGCACATCCATTACCACTGCAATAGGTAACCATTCTTGACACTCTCCAGAAGTTTCCTAGACTGTTTGTGCACTGCTGTGTTGCTTTCATGAACAGCAGGTATCAGGCAAGCTGTAGTCCTCTATGAGGACCAGGGCTTGTAGGCCTGAAGCTTCTTTGAAGGCTTCTTGGAAGTTTTCCTGACCGGGTGGTGTGCAGCAGACACCCACCATGAAGTCTCCCTTAACAGTAATCCCTCTGATTTTGACCTAAAGACATGAAACCGATCTGTTCCTCCTGTCCATAGCTAAACTTTCCTGACTAACTTGTAACTGATCACTATAGTACTTGTCACATGAAGTATCCCACACAGTTTCTGTACATTCCAATAATACAGAACTCTATGCCTGCCCACAGAGTTCTGATTCTGAGTTCACTCTGATTCTGAGTTCTCCTTTCCCAGATTGCAAATGTTTTCCCATATGCCAGAAGAAAGATAGAAGAGCAGTTTTGGTGAAATAATTAAGCATTGTGTAAGGAAAATTAAAGATATATCCCAGCTTGATAAAGCAAAGACCAAATTATCTTGAGACAGTCAGTTATTTTCTAAGACAAGGCACTTCAAATGTTAAGAAATCATATCGCTACACACGTGGAACTCCCTGATCACTTTTAATGCCTAAGCAATCACCTCTCTCAAATACAACATCTAACAGAACCAATTTTTTTTACATTACATTGCTTTACAGAGGGCTTTCCACACAGCAGAAGGATCAGTGAAGGGAGGTAAAGGGTAGAGATGAGTGGGAAGACAGAAGCTCTGACCTCATAAGATCTTATGAGGTAAAACAGAAATATAATCTGCTCATAGCCTTTCAAAAGGCTAACAAATAGGAAAGTTGCTTCTACGAAAATAATCTATTTTTAAATGCATTACTTACTGTGCTTTTTTCTTATATTCTTGAATTACAAAATCTTCCTTTTGAACAATTTGCAAAAATTTATTATATGCCACTCTGAATCTCGCTTTTGCCTTGTACAGATCCTCAGGTCTTAAGTCTGCAGCTTCAGCAAAAGGTATACCAGTGCCTAAATGAAAGTAAGTATTTGGATTACTTGGCTCACTTTTAGCCAATTAAAAATAGATAGATTAGAAAGTCACCTAAGATTGAGAAAAACAGGTTCCCATTTTACCTGGGAACTTAAGCCTGCAATGTACTATCTTTTTTGCTGATTCTTTCCTGTTGCATACATTTTCCTTCCCTCACTCTCACCCTTTTTCCCCTTCTTCATTATGTCACCAAACACTACAAAATGATACAGACAGTTCCCATCCTTGAGAATTCCTAAAGCTGCAAGAAATACCACAAGATGAAAAACTGCTTTTGGACCAAACCACCACTGCTCTGTGTGCACATATACACACATTTAAATATAAATACACACAGAGATTATGTGTATATATCACTATACACACACACACACACACTCACCCCTACGCCATTACACAGATGAACTTTCTAGAAGCAAGAGCCATAAAGCAAAACAACCTGCATCGCGTATCTGTAGTAACCATGCAAGCATGCTGCAACCCTGCAAGAGATCTGGAACCGTGCAGCCAACTCAGGCCTACTTACGGCTCTTGGCATTCATTAAAGTCTTAACAGATTCACCATCAAATATTACAAATCAATCATTTCTATTGTTTGGTTATGGCTTACCTACAGAGTTGACTTTCATGTCTTGAATCACTACATGTCTTGCAAACTGATACATTAGATGAATAAATTTAGGACCACCAGGAGAAAGAAATAAGGAAGTCACAATTTGTGGAAAACCGCTTCTGCATTTATCCTAGAAGAAATGAAACTGATTTTAACACAAAAGTAATCCAAGAAATCATGCCTAAGCAACAGCTACCAAATATTTAGCTGTTCACCAAAACACTGCAGACGTGCTTTCTGGCAGGTCTGATGCAAAGATGGACTACTTTGCTAACATGTTGACACTCACTCCAGTCAGAGGAGGAGACCAAACACTAAAAGTGACCCAACACAAAGATTTATTTCTAGCACTATCATCAGAATAAACACATTACGAGAAGGACGCACAAAAACCAATGGTACCTCCACCAAGAAGTTTTTCTTTGTCTGTTTTTCCTCAGTTTACCTTAAACTGTAGTCCCTTTCCCCATACATGAAAAACCTTTAACATTAGCCTTCCTATATGTATCTGAAACAACCATCACAGTAGTGAACACCTTCTCAGGCAACTTAAGTGTTAACGCCTCTCAAGGTGAAGCAATTATTCCCACGTGGAGTTAAGGAGCCTGCTACAAACTTCTGTTGTGGCACATATAATCAAGAGGTAATCCATAGCAGTTTTTACATCTAAGATTAAAGATCCAGTCATCTAAACCTCACCATATCGCAACCTTTTCCTCAGAAAACTTTAAGATAAACTACATGAAATAAGGCACCAGGTAAGAGCGAATTTTTTGGTAGAAAAAACATTGCTTTTTATCTGAAGCACCACATATTCTCTCAATAGAAGAATGAAGTCACAGAAATCACTAGAATATTGACTTCCATTCTTCAAAATACTTACCGCAATTTCTTTCAGCCAGGTACAGCATTGCTTCCTAAATTCATGATCTATCTTTTTGTCTGATGGAAAGGAACAGTCTCTTCCCATTTAAAAGGGAACAAAAGGAAAAATAGCTTCAAAAATTATTCAGATACTTAGTCAAAAAAACAAACAAACACATAAACAAACATCACAAGAACTAGACTAAGACAAAGATTTTAGTGATGCCTACTGGAGGAGTCAGAGAATGAAGGGTTACACTCTGCACCCAGAACAGCTAGAAGGTGGTTAAATGACAAAAGTTTTCTTGCCCTAACACGCTGATTGTAGACTCTTTCAGATTTGTCTGCAGTTCTTTTTCACTCAGGAAAAGGAGAGGGAAAAATAAGAATGGTCTGAGGGCTGAGACTTTTTATCTCAAGGGTCTCCCTTTAGCCATTTTTTAAAAACGTGTAAGCTAAAATAGTTCAGCTATATAAGGAAAACATTAAGGAAAACGGGTTTTTTGTCATGCTGAATATTCTGGCAGCAATCTATAACTGGTAAGAGTTTCCCAGTGTCCGGTCAGGGAAAGGCATGGGAGAGATATGGATTACTTCGCAACTATGAAAACTTTTATTGAATTGACCAAGTCAGAGCTGCTACTAGAAACCGCTCTGATTAAGGTCTGTTGTTCTGGCACATTACATAGTTACGACCAAGGGAAAAGAGGTTCTCTGAAACTATGTTTTTTCAAAAGCATTCCCGAACAGACCACTTCTTCCTCAATAATCCTGTAAGCCATCCTTGGCTATATTCACAGTATTATTACTAACCGTACAAGCCCCATGCTTACCCAAACATTTCTACTGCACGTGATGGATCCAGCTTAGTAAACAAGAAGAGTGCAACGACATAAAACGCATCGTTGTTCGGTGCATCAAACATGTCCCTAAAAAACAAACAACTACATCAGAAACAGACAACCAACTTCACGCAGCGTTTTTACCGGCCAATTAAGAACACGAAACGTTATTTAACACTAAAGTGTTGCAAATCAGACACTAAATAGAGCGTTTTTGCAAAGTTAAAGCAGGCACCCTCTAGCCCACAAAACGGAGTCGAGGCGATTTTGGTGGGAGCGAGTTTCGGAGCCGCCGTTTGGCGCCAAGCGGCGCCCTGGCGCGGCGGGGCGGGCCCGGGCGGG